GGCTTACCAAGGTTGCGCCCGCAACAGTTCGGAAGGAGCTAGCTCTTCTTCGGCACGTGTTTCGAGTGGCCCGCCAAGAATGGCAACTGCCAATCGAGAAAAATCCCATCGTCGATCTCAAGATGCCTTCACATGGTCGAGCACGAACACGCCGCGTCGAGGATGGCGAAGCGGACCGCCTAGAAGTCGCCATTAACCGGCTGCGCAATACCCTCATGCGAGCTGTCATTCGCTTCGCCCTCGCAACAGGGATGCGCCGGGGTGAAATCCTGAAGCTTCGAGTGGAGCACATTGATCGGCTACGCCGGACGCTTCACATCCCCGAAAGCAAGAACGGGCATCCCCGTACGATCCCACTCACCAGCTGCGCACTCCGTATTCTGGATGAGGTCCAGCCGGATGCCGATGGTTACATGTTCCCTGTCTCTCCAAACTCGGTACGGCTTGCTTGGGAGCGTGTTCGGCGCAATGCGAAACTTCCGGATATGCACTTTCACGACCTTCGTCACGAAGCGATTAGCCGCTTCTTCGAAAAAGGCCTGTCGGTTCCAGAGGTCGCGCTTATCAGCGGACACAGGGACGTTCGAATGCTCTTCCGATACACTCACTTAAAAGCGGAGGATGTGGCAGCAAGATTAGATGCGCTTGAGAAACTGCAAGGTTCTTGAGCGACTTCTAATAGCGAGTTCGATCTACGACTTTGCATCGCTCGTTCACCGCATGTGCCGTCCCTTTTCCGCCGGGGCGGCAACGACGGTTTTCCTTTTCCAGTACAGCCCGTTTGCTAACGCTCCAATCCTTACAGATTGATTCAAAACAGCACGAGCCAATGAATCAATATGGCTCGGCCAAGGGTACAACTCGCAAGATACATTTCCTTGCAACTACCACTTATGTGATTAGATTGTGAGACGTTCCAACGACAGACATGGGGCGTCAAATGACAACCAACAACGACTTCTATACCGCCGCTGAGCTGAGCCACATGCTCGGCCGCTCTCCACGCACGCTTCAACGCTGGTACGCTAATCACCAAGGACCACCCCGAACCAAGATCGGGACGTTGATCGTTTATCGCAAGTCGGCAGTAGAGAGGTGGCTACACGCGGAAGAAGTGAATGGCGGTGCGCTATGAGCACTCTTTCCGAAGGGGCTCCCACAACGGCCGGTGACTGGCTCCATTCGTTCTTCGGTAAAGATGCCCCAGGCTTCTTGATCCTTTGGGAAAAAGCAACGAAGGGGACCATCGCCTTTGACGCAACCAACCTCGACGCAGCAGCCGCTAGTGCCGTGAGCATTGGTGAGGTGGGTGAGGTTTACTACGGTTTGGGGTTACAGAAGGAGCGACCGACGGGTCAGAGCCGCGGCAAGGGCGACACCACGTGCGCACTAGGTGGGTTCTGGTTCGATTTCGACATCGCCGGAGACGGACACGCTCAGACAAACTTGCCGAAATCTCTGGATGATGTCTCCGCGCTACTAGCCGAATTGCCAGTGCCTGCTACGGCCCTCATCCATTCCGGCGGCGGGGCGCACGCTTACTGGCTAGGCCACACGCTATGGCGCTACGACACGCCTGCGGATCGAAAGCACATCAAGAATCTTTCACAAGACTGGCAACGCACGATTCTCTCAAAGGGCGCAGAGCGCGGCTGGAAGCTGGATTCCACTGCTGACTTGGCCCGCATATTGCGCCTACCCGGAACCTTCAATCGTAAACTCGATACCCCTCGTCCTGTCACCGTCGTGGACTGGAACGGGTCTCGCTACGATATTTCAGAGTTTGAAAAATTCCGCAGTTCGTCGCGCACTTTGATCTCAAAACCATCGTCTTCGATCTCAAGACCATCCTCTCGAATGCAATCGGGTGGGAAGCACGCCGAGAAAGTTGAAGCCCGCCATCTACTTCAGTGTGCTTGGGTTAAGCACTGCGTCGACGACGCAGCATCACTTCCTGAACCCGAATGGTATAACTTGCTCACGCTGCTGGCGTGTTGCACTGATGGCATTGAGAAAGCTCAAGACTGGTCAAAAGGCCATCCCGGCTATTCAGAAGGCGCGACGCTAGCGAAGTTCACCCACGCAGATGAATCATCTGGTCCTAGCCTGTGCTCCAGCATTCGGGACGATCTTAACGGCGCCAGTTATTGCAAGGATTGCAAGTACGGCGACCGGCTTCTTAGCCCAATACTACTTACTAACCCATCACGCGCGCTGGCGGCGGAATATGCCTACGTTGTGGAAGCACTTGAGTTCTTCCATCACAAATCTCACCGCAGGTTGTCCAAGGAACAATTCTCAGATGTTCATGCGCACACCCTACCCAAGGCTGCAGCGACGCAAGTTCTCCAGCGGTACAATCTGATCCGCGCAGCCGGCTACGACTACCGGCCAGGTAGTCCGACGATTCTTATCAATGGTGACGAAACTCGCATTAACCTGTGGGTGAATGACGGCGTAAATCCCGAAGCGGGCGACGCGACACCATTCGTCAAACACATCGCTTACTTGGCTCCCGATGAAGGCGCTCGGAAGCACCTGCTTGAATGGCTAGCGTATACTGTCCAGAAGCCGGCTGAGCGTGTGAAGCATGCGCTGATCCTGTCGGGCAAGCAGGGTACGGGCAAGAGCTACATGGCTCGCGTTCTCAAATTGCTCCACGGCCGCTCTAACGTACATGAGGTTTCCGTCGATGAATTGCATGGTCAGTTCACAGGCTGGCTTGAGGGAAAGCAAATCATCCTTATTG